CTCTTTTGGATCACCATCCTGCGTGTTCCCCTGATCTAAATCCAATTGAGAACCTTAGGGGATAGACTGCAAGGGAAGTTTACAAAAATGGACAACAGTTCCAGACAGTAGATGCCCTTCGTGCAGCCGTCTTCACCACTTGGAGAAATGTTTCCACTCACCACATGGAAACGCTTGCATCAAGCATGCCAAAATGAATTTTTGAAGTGATCAACAATAAGGTTGGAGCTACTCACTACTGAGTTCATGTTTGAAACTCTAATTTATGTGGGGGGTTTTTTTTGGAGGTGTGGTCCTAAACTTTTGATCAGCAGTTTCATTCTTGTTTTCAATAAATTGCATGCTCCTAAAAATGTTTTATCTGACTCCCATTTCTTCTTGTTGCACGTTGGCGCTCAACTTGGAACTAGAGCAGGGTGATATGGCCAAAAATATTTATCACGATATGTATTTGAAAATTTGCAATAACGATATAACTGACGATATAATTGATGCGATACAAAATACAACTCCACAACTTTACTAGTGCACAAAACCCCCCCCCCATTCATTTATTTTCACTTAAACAAGCTGTTTTTATGTGTATTAAAGCTATATAAAAATGTAACAGTGTAAATGCAAATTCCTTGCTGAAAGTTTAACCAAAAGGCATTTCCAGTAGAAATGGGCAGATATATCCTGAGCATAACCATGTATAATATCCACTGAAGTTAAAAAGAGGTGCTTTGCAACATTAAACTGCAGTGTGCAATACGCATTTTTCGGACCATAAGGTGCACAGGATTATAAGGCACATTACGCGAAACAAAGCAGTCAGATAAATAAAACTTTATTCAACTCATTCTTCTTGCTTCCTCCACTTCCGTACCATTGACTTATTAATGGTGTATTCTATCACAGCTGCTCTATTCCCATGTTGTTGCAGTATATTAATGACTGACCTCGTATTGTGGATGGATTATCTCAGTTGTTCTTCTAACTGAAGTTTGGCCCGTTTACAGCATCCTGCCATGAGATTGCATTTGTCTCTAACCATCAGGAACCTTCACGTTAACTTTTATCGAGTGGAAAGTGGAAAGTGTTAGCGTTGATCCTCCAGCTTCACTGTGTTTGTTATGCAAACATAGCTGTGTCGCTAGCTGTTTTCATAGATGCCTGGATGTTAAACTTCATAGTTACACCTGGTAAAGCAGCAATGCTGATCATTTTATTAAAGATGAAAGAATTTAGACAGTTTTTAACTCTCAATGATGCTGCAGTGTTCGTTTGACTTTGGGACCTGAAGAGGACGGAGTTTAGGACCCAGATTACTCCAAGATTGCAAATTATTATTTTTTTGGCCATTTTCAAGTAGTCATAAACTGGTGATCGGGACTGTATATCCTCCAAGATGACAATGCTCGTCCACACAAAACAGGGCTTATCAGAGAATTTTGAGTTGGAGGGGCTGGAATAGCCTGCTTGCAGTGCTGACCTCAACCCCACTGAACACTTGTGGAATGAGCTTGGATGTGCTGTTCATGCCAGAGTAACATACACAACAATGCTGACTGACTTGCGAAAAATTCTGGTTGAAGAATGAAATGCCATCCCCAAGCAGGAACTAAGCTGATGACAAGAATGAAGAGGTGGTGCCAGGCTGTTATGGTTATATATAGTTCTTCCACATGCTTCTGACCATTGTTTGTTAAATGAATAAATTGTTAAATTGCCAATATGTCTTTCTTTAAACTTCAATTATTCAATCCAAGAAATGACACCAAAGAAGAGTCCATAGCAGAATAGGTTGTTTAGCATTGGCAGTGGAGATCTGTTAATTTTTTTTTTTGTGCGCAACCCACATACTCAACTCTGCTTCGGCTCCAATCACTAAAAAGAGCAAAGTCTTTTGGATCCCAACCGGCTCTTCAGGTTGTTTTGTTGCTTTGTTAATTAATTTATTATCAGCAACAATATAAATTTATGCACAAAATGAATTACTAATGTAAAAAAAATGTTTTTTTATTTATATATGTTTATACATAAATATGCTTTTATTTATCCCTTTAAGACCTAGCATAGAGCCAAGTCCACCAGAGCTTATTTTTATGTTTTTACATGCTGTAGTACCATTTTTGGGAGCATTTCAAGTTGCTAAACATCAATACAATTGTTATATCCCAAATGTTAATAATATGTATGCATTAAGTCTATAGTAACTACATAAATTATAAGAAAGTGCAATAAACTAGAAAAAAAATAAAAAATAAAATCTTTTTAAAAAACAAAACAAAAACAAAACAAAACAAAACATATTTCTAGTTCGAGAAATTTAAGTGGTTTATCCCTCAAAACTGTAAATACAAAAAAGTTACAAAACAGTTTCCCACCACAGGAAGTTTATTTTGAGTGTCTTCATAGTTTTTTGGTTTTTTTTGGAGACACATATACTGCAGGAAAATCGAAAATAAATATTATAATGTAAATTTGCAAAAAAAACAAAAAAAAACAAAAACCAGCATGTGCATCAAAATAAACTATTTCCAGCAGTGCAATTTGAGTTCTAAGCATCCCAGAAACGATACAGAAAAGCATCAAGTCAACATGATTTAAAAGCACCAGTATAGGATTATACGGCCCCGAAGGTAAGAAACTACATTTACATAACTTCAGGTTTTGGGGAGGCAATGGCAGACATGCGATAGTTCACGCTGACGTCTATTCCAACTAGAGCTGGGCGATAGAACGATAACGATATGTATCGCGATATAACTTTTACTCGATAGAGAAATTAAGCTATCGC